GAGGTTCAGGGGTTGCTGACCATGACTGTTAAAAAGGGGTTTGTGTTTGTTCTCAAGATCTTCTTTCAGGGTTTTGGGGTTTGCCAAGCAACTTCTGCAAGTAAGGTTCCGGGATGCTTACCGTTTGTCCATCAATGTCTTTTCCCTTCAGGGTTTGATCTTGCTGACCAACGTCTCCTTTTGGGGTTTTCGGGTTTGCCAGCCCACAGCTGTGGTTTGCCAACCAGTATTTTTTTCGTTTTGGGTTCGATTGGGGGTGTGCCAGCCGCGATTTGCTTTTGGGGCTTGGGCTTTGCCAACATCTCCTTGTAGGGTTTCGGGTTTAGCGACCAGTTCCTTTGTCTTTCGGGGTTTGGGTTTGCCACACACGATATGTTTTAGGGTTTGAGGTTTACAAGCCTCTTCTTTTCGGGTTTGGGTTTCAGAAAGGACCAGGAAGGGCTATTATCGTGGGGCTCGCGTTTGTGTGTGACCCCATGATATCGCTTGCAGTTTTTTTTGCACGGACAGGTTTTGTGGTTTCGGGGGGGCGGGGGCGGGGGGGGGGTGGGGGCGGGGGGGGCAATCGTTTTCCAGAAAGGTACACCCGCGGTCTTCCTTCAGGGTCAGGAGTTTGCCATCCAGCCTGTCTCACTAAAGTCCAGGGTTTGTCAGCCCACATCTTCATGGTTTAGCCGTAGGGTTTGTCAAACAACAGCGTTTCTTGATTAGGGCTTGAGGTTGGACCCCGCGCTACTTTGTTGTGGTTTATCCGGCATGTTCTCTTAGCATTCAGTGTTCGCCAACCAATATCTGAGTTGGATTTTGGGGGTTTGAGGTTTGCTCCCGCGATCTTCTTTCAGTGACTGGACTTTGCCAGCCGACATGTCCTCGTTTGAGGTTCAGGGGTTGCTGACCATGACTGTTAAAAAGGAGTTTGTGGTTTGTTCTCAAGATCTTCTTTCAGGGTTTTGGGGTTTGCCAAGCAACTTCTGCAAGGAAGGTTCCGGGATGCTTACCGTTTGCCCATCAATGTCTTCTCCCTTCAGGGTTTGATCTTGCTGACCAACATCTCCTCTTGGGGTTTTCGGGTTTGCCAGCCCACAGCTGTGGTTTGCCAACCAGTATCTTCTTCGTTTTGGGTTCGATTGGGGGTATGCTAGCCGCGATTTGCTTTTGGGCTTTGGGCTTTGCCAACATCTCGTTGTAGGGTTCCGGGTTAATTGACCAGTGCCTGCGTCTTTCGGGGTTTGGGTTTGCCACACGATATGTTTTAGGGTTTGAGGTTTGCAAGCCACCGGGTTCCATTTGGGTTTAGGGAGCTTATCTCTTCTTCTTTTCGGGTTTGGGTTTCAGAAAGGACCAGGAAGGGCTATTATCGTGGGGCTCGCGTTTGTGTGTGACCCCATGATAGAGCTTGTAGTTGTTTGTGCACGGACAGGTCTTGCGGATTTGGGGGGGGCGAGGGGCAATCGTTTTCCAGAAAGGTCCACCCGCGGTCTTTGTTGAGGTTAAGGAGTTTGCCAACCAACGTGTCCCAGTAAAGTCCAGGGTTTGCCAGCCCACATCTTCATGGTTCAGCCGTTTAGCCCCCGACCTTCCGATGGGGTTAGGGCTTTGTCAACCAACGTCGTAACGGAGCGTTTGGGGCTTTTGGGTTTGCCAAACAACATCGTTTCTTGATTAGGGCTTGAGGTTGGACCCCGTGCTACTTTGTTGTGGTTTATCCGGCATGTTCTCTTAGCATTCAGGGTTCGCCAACCAATACCTGAGTTTGATTTCAGGGGTTGGAGGTTTGTTCCCGCGATCGTCTTTCAGTGACTGGACTTTGCCAGCCGACATGTCCTCGTTTGAGGTTCAGCGGTTGCTGACCATGACTGTTAAAAAGGAGTTTGTGGTTTGTTCTCAAGATCTGCTTTCAGGGTTTTGGGGTTTGCCAAGCAACTTCTGAAAGTAAGGTTCCGGGATGTTTACCGTTTGCCCATCAATGTCTTCTTCCTTCAGGGTTTGATCTTGCTGACCAACGTCTCCTCTTGGGGTTTTCGGGTTTGCCAGCCCACAGCTGTGGTTTGCCAACCAGTATCTTCTTCGTTTTGGGTTCGATTGGGGGTATGCCAGCCGCGATTTGCTTTTGGGGTTTGGGCTTTGCCAACATCTCCTTGTAGGGTTTCGGGTTTACCGACCAGTGCCTTCGTCTTTCGGGGTTTGGGTTTGCCATACACGATATGTTTTAGGGTTTGAGTTTGAGGTTTGCAAGCCTCTTCTTTTCGGGTTTGGGTTTCAGAAAGGACCAGGAAGGGCTATTATCGTGGGGCTCGCGTTTGTGTGTGACCCCATGATAGAGCTTGTAGTTGTTTGTGCACGGACAGGTCTTGCGGATTTGGGGGGGGCGGGGGGGCAATCGTTTTCCAGAAAGGTCCACCCGCGGTCTTCGTTGAGGGTAAGGAGTTTACCAACCAGCGTGTCCCAGTAAAGTCCAGGGTTTGTCAGCCCACATCTTCGTCGTTTAGCCCCCGACCTTCCGATGGGGTTAGGGCTTTGTCAACCAACGTCGTAACGTCGCGTTTTGGGTTTTAGGGTTTGCCAAGCAACAACTTTTCTTGATTAGGGCTTGAGGGTTGGACCCCGCGCCACTTTGTTTTGGTTTATCCGACATGATCTCTTAGTGTGCAGGGTTCGCCAACCAATACAGGGGTTTGAGGTTTGTTCCCGCGATCCTCTTTCTAGGGGTTGCTGACCATGACTGTTGAAAACGGGGTTTGGGGTTTATTCTCAAGATCTTCATTCAGGGTTTTGGGGTTTGCCAAGTAAGGTTTCGGGATGCTTACCGTTTGCCCATCAATGTCTTATTCCTTCAGGGTTCGATCTTGCTGACCAAACTCTCCTGTTGGAGCTTTCTGGTTTGCCAACCAACAGCTGTGGCTTGCCAGCCAGTATCTTCTTCGTGTAGGGTTCGGGGTTGCCAAGGACGAGCTGATGTTATGCTTACGGCTGGGGGCGTGCCGACAAACATGTTGTGTTGGGATCTAAGGTTTTCCAGCCCATATCCTCTTAGCTGCGGGTTTGGTGTTTGCCACCCCGCATCTGCTTCTAGGAGTAGGGATTGGCCAACCAACATGTCCTGCTAGGGTAAAGGGATTGCCGGTCACTATCCCCATCGTACAGGGTTTGGAATTTTCCAGCTACGATCTTCTCTTGGAATTGCCAGGCGCGCCAGCTGCGATTTGCTTTTCGGGTTTGGGGTTTGCCAACATCTCCTTGTAGGGTTTCGGGTTTGCCGACCAGTGCCTTCGTCTTTTGGGGCTTGGGTTTGCCAATTTGCCACACACGATATTTTTTAGGATGTGAGGTTTGCAAGCCACCAAGTTCCATTTGTGTTTAACCTACTTCCTCTTTTAGGTTTTGGGTTTCAGAAAGGACCAGAAAGGATTACCGTGACGCTTGCGATTGTGTGTGACCCCGTGATAGAGGTTGCATTCGTTTGTGCATCGACAGGTTTCGGGCTGGGGAGGGAAGCAATCGTTTTCCAGACAGGTCCACCCGCGGTTCTCGTTTAGGGTTAGGGGTTTGCAACCAACGTGTCCCAGTAAAGTCCAGGGTTTGCCGGCCAACATCTTCGTCGTTTAGCCCCGACCTTCCAATGGGGTTAGGGCTTTGTCAACCAACGTCGTAACGTCGCGTTTGGGGTTTTAGGGTTTGACAAACAACAACGTTTCTTGATTAGGGCTTGAGGTTGGACCCCGTGCCACTTTGTTGTGGTTTATCCGACCTTTTCGTTTTAGTGTTTAGGGTTCGCCGACCAATGTACCTTGCCAGCTTGACCATGATTGCTGAAAAAGGGGTTTGGGGTTTGTTCTCAAGAGCTTCCTTCAAGGTATGGGGTCTGCCAGCCAACATTTCTAAGTAAGGTTCAGGGATGTTTGCTTTTTGCCCATCAATGTCTTCTTGCTTCAGGGTTTCAACATCTCCTCGGGTTTGCCAGTTTGCCAACCACTATCTTGTTCGCTCAGGGTTTGGGGTTTGCCAAGGACGAGCTGATGTTAGGCTTTCGGCAAGAGGGTTGTTAACAAACATGTCCTGTTAGGATCTAGGGCAGGGTTTGCCAGTTTGGAGTTTGCCACCCAGGATCTTCTTTTAGGGTTAGGGGTTTGCCAACCAACGTGTCCTGTTGGGGAACCAGTTACTTCCTCGTTTGGATGTTGGGGCTTGCCGTTTGCGACCTGCTTTTAGGGTTAGGGGTTTGCCAACCAAAATGTCCTGTTAGGGTAAAGGTAAAGGGATTGCTAGACAGTATCTACATCGCTTCTGGAGTTTTCCGATTTGGTGATCCTTGTTTTCGCTTTGTCTCTTCCGCCGCCCCTAATGTGGCCATTGGACGTTGATGGTTAGCTTCTACATCGGGACGTTGGTATGTAAGATGTTTGTTTTAACACGGTTTTTTGAAACCTCCACATCACAGGTCCGGCTCTCATCCACAGGTTCGTTCAGAGTCATGGACACAGATAACGGTCTAGGATTTGTTCAGGGTTTAGGGCCTGATTGAAAATCGAGGCATACAGACACGGCTACTTTCTAAGGCACCTGTGCGGATCCATCCATACACACAGCTGGGTGCTGTAGCTGCTTGGCGCTAACTTGACGCGACTGTGCACGCTTGCACCTTCAGAATTCCGTGTCTGCGGCTAGTAGCTAGTATGTATCATGCAAACATACATTGACATACCAGCACAACAATACGCAAAACACCGGCTGCACGGACTAGTGCACCTACACAGCATTGTGCAGGCGTGCTCATTCACACATGCAGACCTGCGCAATAGGTGCGGTGTATGTGCACATGCCCTTAATCCTCGCGCCACGAAATGATGCAGGGCAGCGAGCGACAAGTGCATTGGTCATGCGCAGTTCCTGGCACAAAATGACTCCGAACGACTCGAAGCCTCGTGCTTGCTTTCTCATACGACTTTTCCTGCTCTCTCTCTCTCTCTCTCTCGCTCTCTCTGCGTTGGGGCCGCGCACAGGCCATGCCGACATACCTGTTGGAGTTCACCGTCTGATCGAGACAGCAAAAATGTTGCTGGTACCCAGCGTGTTGCATCCCGTCAGCAGGCTTAAACATCAGCCGCCATAGTGTTTCTTCTTTCGGTTTGGCTTGCATGTGTGTTGTTGTTCTGTTTGGAAACGCCTAGGGTAATCACTGTGTTCCATGGCTGTGGGCACGGGGTTGTCGCATTTTCGATGAGGCGTCTTGAGTGAGTTCGGTGGCAAAGAGAAGCTTCTGGAAGCTAAGGTCTTCGCAGATTGGTCCGTTTTTCGATGGCCTGCCGTTTCACCAAAGCCAGCATTTGCAGACCAGTCGGGTGTGAGTGCTGCCTGAAACCGAACCGTGATGGCACATTATGTTTGAGACTTCGGACTCACTATGCTCGAAGGCGCTACGCATGAATGCTCTGAAGCTTAACTTTGGCTATCCTGCACCCTCATACAGATCTAGGGTTTGCTGCCTACGACCCCTTTCCTGGGGGGTTTGCAGCTCATCACTCCATGGCACGATAATGGTGCAAGTCGATGCAAAATTATTTCGCTCACTCAGAGGAGCCAGTCGATCGAACGATCTACTTCTTCAGCTTAATAGGCTGGTTCTGCATGCTGGTTTTGGCAGTACATAGGCTCAAACCCGTCAGCGCTTCGTGCGGCGGCGGTCAACTGTTTTTTCCCGCGGCTGCTCTGTTTCCAAACGAATGCTGCTTGCTGTTTATACTTAGTTTGCATCAACTTGAAGCCTCCGCGATGTTTTGGACACTCTGCAGCCGGCTGTGTCAGTAAGTAGACCCGTAGGAAGAAGATGCTCTGGGAGTAGTGCAGACACATTTCTTTCTTCTCGTGGCTTCGGCCGGTGTCATAACAGTTCCGTCTCTCCCTATTCGCTACAGAATGTCGCCGGAGCCCCCCGCGTGACTGTGCTGTTCTGTTGTCAGTTGACGTGTCCAATGTCTTCGGAGCACATAGACTGCAACAGAGCATCTTTGCGCTTGGCATGGAGCCAAGCGTGAGCAACTCTGCTTCCACATTGAAGCCTTTTTGCTCCAAGCAAGGTTGCAGCCCGACAGTCATGACGAGGAGCTTCGCACTGCAGGCTGGCTCTCGGGGCCAGTCGGCATCCAGAGTGTCAACGTCATGCTCTGGACTGAAGTGTTTCCGTCACGAGCTCCTGCACAATGACATAGATGTCGCCCGCTCGGTGTGGTAAAGCCTCCGAGAGACGCCAGCGCTCTATGGAGTTTGCTGCATTGCCTTCCAGTGATCCTGAGGATTGCTTGCCTCCGTATTTGTTCAAGCATGTTCTAGCAGCTTCTAGCGGGAAGCACAACAAGCAGTCACAGCATCGAGAAGCAGAGGCACATTTATACTGCTTCCTGTCATGAACAAGATGACAATTCCGGCGCAAGCATCCCAAGGAACGACAGACGCGGGGAAGACATGGCAAGCCTTAGATCAGCCATCCAGCCAAGCAGTCACCTTGTCAAAGCTGAACTAGCAGAGCGGTCCAAAGGCTATGGGCCAAGGCAGTCGGCTTGTCAACCAGGCGTCTGCCAGCGAAAGGCGAAGGCCGCAGACTCGTGCTGAAGCTCCTCTCAGACTTTCTTTCCTCGCTCATGTGAGATCTGTGAGCCACAGGGGGACCAGGACATGCACCCATTTGCGCCTCCGCCTCACTGGCCGCCTCCCGCCGCAAGTGCTGTGCTTAGCGCGACTTTGGGGAAGCTTTTTCCTCAGAGAAGCTTCGCTTCTTTGGCTCAGGCTATCCACAAGGCTTTCCAGCACAACAGCCCTTTCCGCAGTCGGCATGTATGGGCCACGGCTATCCACACCCGGGCGCATCATATCCAGGAGCCGCTGCAATCCCTCCACAGATGACTGTTCCAACACACGGCCTCAACACTCCCCCTTCAACTTTTGTAGGCATTCGACCACCTAATGCAATCCCCGGTGTCATGCCCGGTGCAATTCCTGGTGCAATGCCGGGTGGAATGCCCGGCGCAATTCCAGGCACCGTTCACGGTGCAATGCCAAGTGCAGTGCCTCCTTTTTCAGCACAACCTCCTCCTGTCCAACCTGCCCCGCCTATGGCGATGCCACCTCAATCGTCTTTCACATCTCCGCCACCTGCCCCGCCCATGCCTCCACCGCCGTCTCCACGACCACCTGCCCCAGCACCAGCTGCCAAAGACGGCGCGGAGGGTGCCAAAGCCGGCGGCAGCGAGTGGCCGATGCCTTGCTGAGTTTGCATCCATGTATAGACCATGTGTAGAGTTTTTCAGCTTCTAAGGACCGGTCAATCTTTCGAAGATACCATCGGTGAAGTGACCGAGCTGAGACGTTGGGATTCACGTTGTTGCTGTTCTGGCTCGTTGCACGAAGGCAAAGCGCCGTGCAGAAGAGGCCAGGAAAAAGTTCGATGAGGATCCGATGCCATCAGTGGGTTTGAATGGAGAGACGGTTGGATTGTTGTCTTACGGCACCGTCGCCTGCATATGACAAGCTTGCCTGGACCCAATGTTGTTGTTGACAGGAGCAGCGAAAGTCTCGTCGCACCCATCGTGAAGGTCCGCCGATGATGTGGGGGAAGGCTCTCTCCTCCTCCCTCCGTTCCTTTGCAGGTGAGGAGCGTCCTCCGGCTTCCGAGGAGGAGTGCGGCAGCTCTTTCTGCCCTCTGCTCCCTGTTTCTGCTCTCTATGTCTGCTCGTTTCAGGAGCTCTTGGAGCTGCAGGCCTGGCTCTCGAAGTTCCCCAGCTTGGACTCCAAGGCCCTCAACGCCTCTCAGCTCGGTTTACCTGCCCGGCAAACGCGGTTTCATGTCACGCCGGCTTCGACGCTGAGGCACTGAAAAGTCTCGATGCTAAAGATGCGGTGCACGCATTGAAGGAGAGCCAAAGATGCAGAGCAATGCAGCTGACATCCGCGCAGACCTTGCATGTCCTGGCAAGGAGCTGGAGCAGAAAGGGCCCGGAATCCGGAATCCTTCCGTGCCTGGATTGCAACTACGGATCAGGGGTTGAACTGCACCTGAGAGTGCTGCGCACAGGCCTGGATCTGCAAAACTGCGCAGAATGTCCGAGAGAGGCAGTGCCTGATGTCAAAAGTAAGCTGCCATGTTGCACCTGACGCGGCTTGCTTCCGTTGTGAACACAAACCCCGCCACTTCAGCTCGATGCCCGTGTCTCCAGGCGGGGTCTGCCACCGCTGCCGGAAGAGGCCCTGTGCCACCACCAGCATAAGCATCCGAAGATGCAATGCAGACCCTCTGACAGGAGAAGGAGAAGGAGCAGGAGAAAGAGAAGAAGAACGATTTGGGTATTGTGGACCACTACGGAGCGTTCTTTTCCTGCAGCTAGCAAGTGTTGAGAGCTCTTTTTGCGACAAGCCTCAAGGCGTCCCTCGGATCGCAGCCTCTGCCGGAAGTGAGCTACAGCCCAGGCTGGAAGTGGCCGAAGACGCAGACGAGAAAGACATCAAGAAGGCCTACAGGAGCCATGCTGTGCGGTGCTCTGAAAGGGGCACTACAAGGCAGAGGCATTGAAGATTCGGCAGGAAGTTGGTGCTCAAGTGGCACCCCGACAAGCATCCAGAGGGCCGGGATGAGGCCGGGGCTCGGTGGGACTGCTTGCTTCGGCAAGGGCGGTGTAAGGGCTGTTTTTGAATCTGAGGCCGCGAGCTTGAATTCAGGACTCTAAGGTGTAGTCTTGAGTGCTTGAGTCCTACATCCTTCGACTTTCGAAGGGCTACAGGCCAGGCTGTGAGAAGGAGACTCGGATTTGCTTTCCGAGTGCCTGTGTCGGCTTCCCGGATTCCTTTACGCATTTTCGAATTCGGTTTCGAAGTCCTTGCCTTCACTTCCAACTTTTCAGCTATCTGTCTCCAGTGCCCAGCCTTTTCCGGTCTCCAGATTGAGAGCATGAGCATGCGGTTCATATGATCAGCGCCAGTGGCGAGGCAGAAGAGAAGATTCGCGCCATCAACAACGCTTACGACACATGGCTGCCAGAATACGGCCGTACCGGAGCAAGATCGTAGGATGCAGTTCGGACACTGATCAGAGTAATTCCTTGTTGAAGCTTCATTGCAAATACCACGCTGGCTTCAGAACCGCTGTGTTGCTGGCATAAGGAGACACTCAGCAATGCCACCAAGCGTTGTCACCTTAGCTCCTGTCAGCGGATTCAGGGCCACGACAGGCCTTTCTGCGTACAGCTGCCCAGGTGCCACTTACGATGCGCAGCGGCAGGCGTTGCTGCGCTCCAGTCGCGGGCAAGGTCGCTTTTCAGCGTTTGGTATCCCTGCAGGTTACTGCAGGTTCCTTCTCGGGGTTCGCTGTTCCTCCACCTCTGTTTATGTTTCTGAGGGGAGTCTTCGCCAACAGTTGAATTGTTCGCACGTGGCAAGGTGCGCGATTTAGGATGATGCTGGAGTTCTTGAGTACGCATCTGCTGCTGAGAGACTTCGATGTTGGATGTCTGAGGCCCAGACCTGAAGGCGCGATGCGCAGAATGGGAGAGGGCATCGAAGCTTTCGGATTCGCTGCGATCGGTACATGCTCCTCTCTTTGCGCTGTTGAGTGCCATCTGTACTGTCGCAAGGCGCAGAATTTGGCACCACGCCAGCGTATTCCCCGGGAGTTTATGTTGCAGCCCATCGGGTGACATGGCAGCAAGGAATGTGACTGCATCGGGCTGCATTTCTCGCGAGCTCACGTAATCCAGCACGGAATCGCAAGGTATCCAAACAAGTTCGTGCGCTACGGTGATGAGCGTGCAAGAGCTCAATGTGAGGCACGGATTCGCCGATATGGGGAAGCCTTGCGTGTGAACGAAAGGTGTTGCATGCAAGCGAAGGTCAATTCGCGTGCGGACGCCCGTCTCGATGGCAAGAGTGGGTTGGATCAGTCAGAAGCCCATGGGCCATGATCGCAAACTCGATGTGTTTCGAAAGCGCGAAAGGGCTGTAGCATCGTGTGAAAAGCGCCCGCGACATTAAGAAAACGTTTCTTGGCAGTGAC